CTGGCCTGAGCCAGGAACGACTTTAACATTGAAATATTAAAGTATTCAAACATTAAAGTCAGCACTGGGACTTTAATATTTCAGAGGGACTTAAATATTTAAGCGGGACTTTAATATTAAAGTAAGGCCCTGCGGATTAAATATTAAAGTCCCAGCGCGGACTTTAATGTTTAAATACTTTAATATTTTAATATTAAAGTCGTTCCTGCCTCAGGCCAGAATGGCGACCCGCCGGACTTTAATATTTAATCTGCAGGGCGGGACTTTAATATTAAACTAAGGCCCTGCGGATTAAATATTAAAGTCCCAGTGCGGACTTCAATGTTTAAATACTTTAATATTTCAATATTAAAGTCGTTCCCGAAATATTAAAGTCCCAGCGCGGACTTTAATATTAAAGTTGACGGCTCGGGACAGAGGGCGTCAAATAGTACATATTTTACCTTCTTACCCGGGGGGGGGGTGGGGTGGCATCCTGAATCAACATCATCTCCAGGGGGCCGGGGTGGGGGTGGGGGGGGTTGGATGGGGGCGGGGCAGCGGGCGCCTCCAGCGCAGGTTCCATGCCTTCCAAGCCGCTCAAAATGGTCAAACCACGGCTAGTAAACCAAACTCCAGCTGAGTCTTCACAGGACTCGATTTCGTGACTCGTCGGAACGTGTCCAATGCCACAAAGATCGTCGCGACCCTCGCCCAGTCGTGCAGCCGGTGTTGTGTAGACGCACCGGAAAGAGACAAGGATTTCGTCGTGACTCGGCCTGGGCCTATGGGCGCACGGTAGGGCCTTCTGACCCGGGAACATACATATAGTTCTGTGTGGATGTAGCTGGCTTCAAGAACATCTCGTGATGCTTAGCCGACGGTGCCAGGAGATGCTCGGAGCCTCGACCTAACAAGAACTGCGTCGCATATCCTGTCGTCCCTCCGCGCCCACGTACCCAGCATACACCAGCTGCTAACATGTGCAAGCTGGCCCCGCCTGCCGCAGTTATCCCCTTCTCAGCACCTGATGCATGCTCACGAAGTGCAAACTAAGCAATGCCTGTAAATGCCCGGGGATCACAACAAGCTGTCCACAACATCAGACCATTCAGTACCAATGCTTTCTAAATGAGCATCAACACGCAATGAGAGCATTCGCAACCACCTTGTGCGCCGACCACACCCCCTGTAACCTGACGACATAGTCTCAGTGAGAGAAGTCACTTGGAATATCTTACGGCAACGAGAATCGACCGTTGCATTCTGATAAGAGCTCAAACCCTCTGACCCTTCCAAACTTCCAAGCTCAACCCGACAACATCGACAAGTATCATGCATCTGAACTCTCGGGACGCCTGGTGGGTATCCTCCATGGGACATGGAAGTCTCACCTCCAAATGATCTCACTCTGAATGTAGGGAGTCTTTTGTCACTCCGGGAGTACTTTTTTGCTTTTTGGCACGGCTAGTTTAGAGAGAGGAAGACAACCTGCCCGCTCTTCGACATGCTACACTTCTTACCTCGAATGCCAATTCGTGTTGGCCGAAGTGCAGTCACGAAACACCGAGCCTGCTTCAGCACCAGGGAACCTGGCGTCATCTGGCTCTCGTGTAGGGCAAAGGCTGCTGCCGAACTTTAAATCATTGTCCCCTCGAATGGTGCCGTTACAAGGAGTTTGGAGCACTCGAGGTGCTCTCACTTGCCCCGCTGCAGTTTCAGACGGCAACCTTTAACCTCGACTGGCTACACATGCTCGTGTGTGCAGGTCAGGCCTGGCCTCACGACGAACTCATGGGTCATGGCTTCTCGAACTTTTAAGCGTTCGGTCGGATTTTTCCTGGCGATTTACAAGCAAACGAATCAGTCAGTGCCTGCTGCGAAGGAGCTGGTGCCATGACGTGAGGTAATGCCAAAAGCTTGCACTTGCAAACGAAGGACGACGAAGTCGTCGCATCACAACAGCCGTAGTCAAGTCCTAGTACCAGCCACCAATTCTGTTGCAGGGGCACGATCTCGAGCTTGGACAGAACTGAAGATGTGTTCATGCTGCGACCACACCTGCAAAGCTTGCCAATGAGATCCCGACCTTGCACGGCAGGCGATTTTTTGAAATCAGCATGTCGTGGTGAAGTCCTTACTTTCCCAATGATGTAGGCTTGGAGATTGGGTAGCAGGACATTGCTCACGGGTGGACTTTTGAGGCTAGCTCTGATGCGTGAACAAGCTGCTCATCAAAATATTTGGCGACGGGTTCATCTCTGCTGTCCGCATGAACGGCGACAGGCTTCAAGTCGGACGGGGCACGAAAGCCCTTGTGAGCCGACCAGCAAAATGGGCACGATTCGCAGGGGCGGCCTCTGACATCACTCAAGCACAGGGTCCTGACCGAGACTGGACTAAACTTGTTAGCAGTACTGCATTGGAATCATAATTTCCTTGTCGTAGAATCCCGCTCGTCGAATCTGTCCGAATGTCGCAAGCGAGCTTGTCTGGCTGATGCCTGGATCTGGAAGAACTCTCAGTATCTGGCCACTTTGATCCATGTCGGACGGGAACAGAAGATCCACATGAACGATTCGTTTGCAGGTCGTCTCCTTCGCCAATTCGCATTCAGGCACACGTTCCCTGATAAAGGCAGCGTCCTTGCTTTGCGATCCGAAAGGGGACCTCGTCAGCAGTTGAAATGCACATACGACGGTATGGCTACAAGTCAAGAAGCTGATCTGCACGGAGCAGCTCAATGCTTGCCATGCGGCTGTCCCGTTAGCATCTCATAAAGCCTTGGCCACACCATGCTTGGTTCTTTGCTCGGTCCACTTACAGCCTTCGCTAGCTTGAACTCACAAAGCAATTCGACGGTGTCCCAAAGGCCAAGACTTTGTTGATCAAGGCGCACAGATGCCAGCAGAGAGGAGTCTAAGCCTTGCTCCGAGCGGCAAAACTCCCATCGTCCACATGTCCACACCTGCCGGATCGCTGCCGGTGACGCTTTTTTCCGGGCCAACTGAAACTGGCCAGCTAGAGGCTTGGCCCACTGCTTTCGTCATGGCCAGTCCCTCGAATCATCTCCTTGCGGCCGAACCCGATCAGTCCGGAGCGGTCGTTCGCTCGAGGCAACTTTTTCAAATCTTGCATGACGAGGGACGGGAGCAAGATAGTCCAGTGTGCCACAGAAAGTGCTTCGCTTGTCCTGTGGGAGTGTAGCGACTAAGAGCCGAAGAGCGAGGTACTATAGCCAAAGCAGCAGTAATTTGGTAGTGCCGGAGTCGCGTCGTGTCCTGCTCCAGGAGATTTGCCCAACCGAAATCAGCTAGCTTGGCGGAGTCATTTGCATCCTTAGCGACAGGGGTGTCGATGTTCGCAGGCCGATGAGCTGCCTATGAGCGGCAAGCGTAATAGAGTCTAGAGGGCGTGTTGGGCAGACAATGGCAGACAGTCAGAGGGCCACTGACACCGGGACATGGGACCAGCAGAATGTTCTCAGGCTTGATGTCCCGATGTATCACCTTGCAAAAATGATCATCGCACACCGCGTGAAGCCACCAACTGAGCAACACCAGCAGGGAGACGGCAAACCTCCTGAGAGAGAAGGAGCCCCCAGCCAACAGGCCGGGACCTTGTCCGGCAGGTGGTGCAAGTAGTCCAGTGCCTCACACCTCACCGTCCGTCTTGGAGAAACCCCTCTCACCAAAAAACCCGGAATGATCATCCGTCGTCACCATGTTGGTGAATTCTGACAGAAAGTCCAGACAGCACAGCGCCGAGGCAAGTCGTCGTATTTTGCAGCAGACTTCGGGCTCACAGCAGGGCACACCGTCGAGCTCCGTCCGTTTCCGGTCGGCGCGAAAAAAGACTGTTCTCCCGGAATGGATGTGCCGTACTTCCCCCCCACCCCTATGACTATACCCCCAAGCCACCGGCAAAGATGCAAGTTCTCTCTTTGCTTTGCTAGGGGCAAGAGCAGGGGCAGGCCCCCTAGCCCGCGCGTCAGCGCAACCCCGTCCATCCCGTTGATGGAACGGGCTTAGCTGTACTGGGACGGTCCCTCGCTGTTCGTAGAAATACCAGCGAAAGAGAGTGCCCCCGTGGTAGCAAACAAGACAAGTCCTTTCTCTGTCTGTCTGTCTGTCTGTCTGTCTGTCTGTCTGTCTGTCTGTCTGTCTCTGTCTGTCTCTCTGTCTGTTTGTCTGTCTGTCTGTCTGTCTGTGTCTGTCAGTGTGTGTCTCTCCATCACCCTCCCTCCCTCCCTCCCTCCCTCCCTCCCTCCCTCCCTCCCTCTGTGTGCGACCGAAGGGCGTCTGCAGGAAGTAAGTTGCAGCACCTCAAGTCGCACCAAACAAAGAATAGCCGCTACCGCACATGTTGCAGGTGCTCATTTCGGCCGGTTGACGCTTTGAATATGCTTCCATATGCTTCCCAAGTTTCTTGAGAACCTGCAGCACACCCCGAGCAGCCGCCGTTCTTACGCAGCAGGCAGGAACTCGCTCAACTCTTTTTTAAGCATTGGTCGGACATGCCCATCTATGCCCAGATATAGGCAGCAGTCCCTCACCCCCGGGCGGACGGGCGGGAGAACAAAATATTGGCACAAGCAGGCCTGTGCAATTGTGGGCCCACACGTGGACTACGTGGGAACCAATGAGCTGTACAATGCTGCGTGTACATGTGGGAGTCGGGGGCACTGCCAAACCCAGCCCAAGCCGGAACACCCGTCACTTCTCGCTTTGATGCAGAGACTGCGAGCCTCGTCCGTTTAACCCGCATTGCCCCTTGCCCTCTTGGCTTCCAACGCTGGCCAGTGAACTTCTCCGCTTTTTGAAGCTTGTCGAACAAGCTCCCACCTAAAATCCAACATAAGCCGCATCCAGCTAACACAGCGAGCGGCTTGACTGGTAGCGGCACGATACTAGCCGCGGGACCGATGCAGAACTCCATGCCCAAGTACCTCATGCAAGCTACAACGATTCTCGTCCGAAAGGCTGGCGGCTGGCTGGCAAAAGATCAACACCTCTGGCTTCGTGTTCAGCCGGGAGGCACGAAGTACTTGTCCTCAAAGTGGAAGTACAACCTACGTGTTTGCCATTAGCAAGATCATCTTGTGAACACATCCCGGCCTCACGATCCGCGGATGCTGCAAAGAGTACAGAATGTTGACCTCACCTGAACAGTGCGGGTGAGACTGTTGACCTTCTGCTGGGGTAGAATGCACGCTGAGTGACGCTTCAGCTGGTCAAGGAGCTGGTTCTCGAGAATCAGCTGCAAACGGACCTGTGTAAGTGCTTGGTATTGCCTGTTGGATTCGGCTATGTTCGGCTCTCGCATTTGCAGATCGTGGCTACTGTCCCCAGTGTGCTTCACAGATGTCAGAACCTTCTTTACCGCGACGGCTTTGTGGTCGCTCTTGGTCTGCGCTTGCCAGACCTGCAGCTTTGGCGAAGTGTTTGCAAGCCGGATAAGACTGATCTAAGAAATGGTTGGATCAGGGATTGAATGCCACATCGAGGCAGGGATCGGCCACCGACTTACATTATATGATGTCTTGTGTTCATTGCTTCTCATGCCTTACTCACGGCACAGGCCTCTCCGAAGTATCCGCGTCCAAGGCATTTCTCAAACTGTAGGTCCTGACCATGAAGAACTAATTGGATACGGAGTGAACGAGCATGCTTGAGCGAAAGCATCATTTCCAAGGGTTGATCTTCGCACGTGCCACCCCCTACCCGAAGACACAAGCATCAACATCGCCTGCATTTTGTCTAGCTTGCTTACGTTGGTTCCTTGATGATAAAGGCTTCACTTTTCGCTACTGGATACTTGCTTCGTCTATGACACTCCTCTGCTCCTTTGGCTCGAGGATCTTGGCTGGCCATGGCTCAGGCAATGCCGTGCTAAAACTTGAGGAATGTGGAATGTGCTGCGTGGTACGTACAGTGCAGAGGACGCGTGCAGGACCAGGCTCACCTTGAGCCCAGCAGATCGGCCAACCTTTCGAAGCTCCAATCCCCACGCAAACTCAAGAAAGTGCGCTTTTGATTGAACGACGTTGGGAGAAGAAAGCGCCCGACAATTGTCATCTGCAAGCTCGTGTACGAGAAACATACTTTGTATTGAAACGTGTAATGTGAACAAATCTCTGGCATTCCCAGGCACTTCCTGCCGAGCTTCGATGCACAAGGTCAGTAGCCCTGGCTTGTATCGCTTGGCACCAAGTTGAGCTAAGCATGCGACTTGCACTAGATGATGTCTGCCGCGCTGTTTTCTCCGAGATTCGAAGTTCGGCGACACTATTGGTAAGCCATCCCCCACACATTCGTGACATATCACCGCAGCTCTTGGTGGGTGCTGCACTTGGGCAGCCAGGCCAGGCACATTGCATTCACCTGTGCAGAAAACCCGCTTCGGAATCAACCCGCCGACGTGGAAGCTGTTGCTCGCATGTGATTTTGGATATTGAGATTTTATGCGAATTCGGGAATCAAACGTGCAACCTTCGGTGACGGCTCTTGTTCGTCTCGGATTGGTGTGGTCGAATGCTTGCAGGGGAATGTCGGGAGCGCCCCCAGAGTTTTGAAATGCCGCCGAGTGAAGCTATCCCAACTTGGCAGATGGATTTGGCTTGGCTGTTGAAGTTTGAACTTGGACAGGGCTTTCGTAGCTCTTGATATCTTTGATTTTATGGATCGGAATACACAACCCTAAAAACACAACCGGCAGGCAGCAAAGCACGGCAAGCATCTGTTTCGCGCAAAGCTAAGCGACGTCACTTTGAGGAGTCGACGGGGCCGGATTTCACAGGCTCGTCCAAGGCTCATGCTTCCACACGACAAGTCAATGCACATGCACTCATGGACTGTTCTTCACATCGAAACAAGAAAGTGTTGACTTGTCGAGGGCTTGCATGCGGATCTTCCGGCGCTCGCGCTGCGCCTTCCGAAGAAAAAACCTTCTCTCCTCTTCCTTGGCATCAGCCGGAGACTGCTTGACATTCAAGTAGCCGTCGTTCTTGAAGCGGACATAAAGTAAATCTTCCATGGGCTTAGTCAGACAATCACCATACTGGCGCCATGTCGGAACCCAATGAAGAAAAACCAAGCCCTCCTGGACCATCTGGCGGATGCCCAGGATGTCAAGCGAAGTCTGGCGTTCTGCTGCAAGCTGGTTTGACCCGTGAACGTGGTCGTAGAGGCTGCGCGCGTCAGTGATCAAGTGCCCTTTCGCCCGGATCTCCTGGCACCATGTAGACGAAGTTGCCGTGGCTCCGTCGTACAGGGCGTCCCAAAGCTTCATGTTGTAGACGAGGCGGTCGGCACTTGATGACATAGAGCAGCACTCAGCAGCCATGCTGCTCCGAACAACCCGGCTGATCTTGTTGCTGTGGAACTCGAGCAAGTTGGCGCTTCCTTGGGAAGTTAAAACACCCGGCTCCACCAAAAAGTGAGCTTCGCCCCGCTGAGCTGCCAAGCTGTTGCTGCTTCCAAGGGCCGCGTCGAAGTAGGTCACGAGCTCCGGGACCCCACGTAGGCCTCGAACCTTGAGCTTGGCCTTGCCGTCGGCAGCCATGGTCTTCAGGGACTGCAGGAGTTTGTTCGCCTCGGCCAGGTCGCTCCACGTAGCTTGCCCCACCCTCTGAGCGAGCAAGCTGACTTGACAAAGAAGTTCTGGAGCCACCAAGTGCACTGGCCAACGGAGCTGAGCAATCAGCCGGCGAAACTCCTTAAGGCCTCCAGCGTCCAGTCCTTGAGGGCCGCGTCCACGTAGGGTTGCCTCCTTGAGGTCGAAGACGTAGTCGGTCATGTCGTTGACAAAGACGCCGTGCTGCAGGGAGATCTTCATCCCCAGGTAAGCCACAGGCTTGGCCCCAATCTCAATCCACTCCTTGATGGAGAAGCGGGCATCGATAGCCTTTCTGGTCTCCTGGGCCTCCACACCGTCTTCCACCGCGAGGAAACCGTCGTCGACATGCAGGCAGAGGATGGCGACTGTAGTGGTCTTGCCGCCGCGCTTCTTGACCTTCACAAAGGTGGCCGGGGCGAAGGGTACCTCGATGAAGTCGCAGGCCATGAGGAGGTCCTTCGCCTGCATGTACCATAGCCTGGGCGCCTCCGCCAAGCCGTACGCGCTCTTGAGGATGCGCCACAAACCAAAAGCACCGACACCATGAAGATCTCGAGGTGGACGGCAGTACAGGTCTCGGGCCACGCTCTTTCCTGAAAGGAACGCGGTGCTCACATCAAAGAGCAGACATCTCCATCGACGCTGGAGAGCAACGCTCATCGCCATTCTGACTGCAGTCATCGTGGTGGTCGGGCTGTCAGTGCGCAGCTCGCCTCCCAGAACGTCTGGATCGACGTGTCCAGGAAGGACTATGCGGGACTTGGCCACCAGGTCCTTGGAGCCAGCAGTAGCTTTGTTTGTTCGCACCACTCTCGCCGGCACCATGAACACCCTGGCTCGAGGAACCTTGCGAGCAGCCGCGGCGTCCAGCTGCTCGATCACCTTGTTGTCAAGCCAGGCCTGCCACTCCTTCTGGTCCGCCTTGTCGAAAGCGGCCTGCTCGCTGCCATCGAAAAACTTCGGGTCCAGCTCCTTCCCATTTGCCTTCATTTTCAGGATAAAGGCCTGGGTCTTGAGGACATTCTCAGCGATGTCCTCAAAAGCTGCGCGGGCCACGCTTTCGTTGGCAACTGTGACCTGGAACACCTGGGAGGCAGAGGCCACAAACACCTTAGCACCACAGCTTGTCTGCTTGGCCTTCCGGTACTGGGCCTTCAGCTCACCCTTGCGAAGGTGGGCTCGGTTGGCGTCGTAGAAGAAGGTGGCCCCACGCCAAAGGTGAGGACACTTGTGCCGAGGACGCCGGGACACTTCATCCGGATGCTCCTCTGCGATCATCACCTGCGTGGGGTCTTCACCGAGCATCACTGTGACACGGTGCCTGCGCCAACGAGGGCCTGGGTTCTGCAACCTTTTCCGAGGAGCTCGGTGAAAACGTGCGGCTGTCAGCGGCATGTCCAGCAACTCGGCCAACTTACGAACTTGCCCTCGGGGAAGCCATTCATTGGCACGTGGGTTGTCCTCGTCGTCTGCCTCCGGGTTGGTCAGCTTCTTCAACTCGGGCTCGGCGAGGGCGACCATAATGAAGTTAGCCACATCACCTGTGCGCAGACGCTTCGTGGACACCTCGGGCTGCGCTTGCAACTGTTCCTGCTGGGCCTCGGCAAGCTTGCGCTTCAAACTGTACGGCACGTCGTCCAGGTAGTCGTAAGACTCGGCACGGCCACCAGAAAGACTGTCCCCCTGTGCAACTGGAGCTTGGTCCCACACGTCCTGGAGACTGTCTGGCAACAAACTTTCAAAGGGACCATCAGGTGGAGGTTGTTCGTGTGGTCCTGCGTCATCACGAGGTGGTTGTTCAGCGCTAGGCTCTAAAACAAGACCATCAGGTGGAGGTTGTTCGTGTGGTCCTGGGTCATCTAAATGTGGTTGTTCAGCAGGCTTGGCGCAGCCCTTCCTCCGAGGCCCACGCGCTCCAAGCAAACGGCGCCTCTTCACTTTGTCGAAGGGGATGCCCAGGGTCTTTTTCACCGACTTCAAGCCCTGCATCATCCGCCTGGCCTCGGTCATCCTGCGCCCCAGCCCGTTCGGGACACGGCGAGGCTGAAGGCCAGGAGCTTGTGGCACCAGGGTGGCTTCCGGATCATCGGGTGGCTCGGGCTCATCCGTCATATCCAGGAAGCCCTTCTCCAACTCAGCCTCCAGCTCTTTTCGTCGAAGGTCCTGGTCTGCCGGGGTGTCGTACCCGGCGCCCTTGAGGTTCGCTGTCGAAAGAAGGAGACAGCGACCTCGCCACGACACGAAGTAGCGCTCGTGCCCATCCGGCATGATCACAACTCCTGGGCCTCTCCAGCATCCGGTGTCGCGACGGTAACGGCCCTTGTTCATCTTGGGTGCCCAAAAGTAGACCAGCTCACCTGGGACAAAGGCACGACGCTCTCCCGCCGGTGCTCGCCGAAGGGCCCGTTTGATCTTGTCCCGAATGTCTCCGCGAAGCAAAGCCACCTTCGCTGCGGCGCGCATCTCCGACATGCGAGCAACCTCGGAGTCGATGGAGAGGGCATGGCCAAGGCTCGCGGAAGACCACACATCCTCTTCCAAGAGGTCTGGAAAGCATGCCTGGCGCCCAAAGGCCAGGAGCTGCGCCGAATGCCCCGACCGGGACACCACAGAGTTCTTGCCCTGGACCGCACATGCCAAAGCTGTCTTCATCTCGACACGGCCACAAGACTGATACTCAGCTATGATGGCCGCCCAGGCAGTCCCAAGCAGAGCACCATGTCGTTCCGCATATCCATTCTGCCAGGGGGAGTGGGAGCCGGCAACCTTGGAATGAATCGCGTGGCTCTCGAGCATTCCAATAAAAGCCGTTTCGAATTCTCCACCCTGGTCTAAGGTCACCCTTTGAGGGACTCCATAGAGGCCCACCCAACCATTAATGAACTTGCGGGCAACATGCTCGGGGCTCCTGTTTCGCAAAAGGCGGGCTGCATGATAAGTAGTGGCTTCATCCACCATGCTCAAACACACAAAGACCTCGCCCTTATAGTCTTGCTGGAACTTCAGGTCAAGATGCACAGACAAACCAAAGCTAACGGCACGGCTGTCTGCTTTTGCTGCAAAGGGCCTCCGTGGTTGGCTCCCCAGGCGGCAGACCGGGCAATCAAAATGCCTGGCCATCTCGATCATCTCCTCGCTGGCACCACCAAGCTGCAACATCCGAACCAGGGTTTCGTTCGGAGGGTGACCAAGCCGCCGATGAACAATATCGATGCGCTCCAGCTTCCCCTCCTTGACCAGCTTGCCAGGAGGGCCG